GTTCAATGTTAATGCGTCAACAACATGGTACCTCCAGAAAAAGGAAGAGGAAATTATTGATCTGTACAACAAAATTATTAATTATTTTTAGCATTAGTTTTTTTTTTAATTTGAGTTTTGAATTCTCTCCTCTCTTCAGTCCTTCCCCTGCATTGAGAAGGCAAACGATATGATTTCAGTTATACACAGAGAATCATACAAAACATTTGCGTGTTAGCCGTATTGCAAGAAAAGGGGGGGGCAAGAAATATAAAGTGAAAAATTTGCACTCTAGTCTGCACTCAGAGTTCATCACTCCTTTCTCTGGAGGTGGATAGCATTTTTCATCATGAGGCCTTCAGAATTGTCTTGGATCATTGTATTGATCAGATTAGCTAAGTCTTTCACAATTGATCATCGTTGCACTTATTGCTGTTAATGTGTACAGTGTTGTCCTGGATCCATTCACTTCACTTTGCATCAGTTCATATGAGGCTTTCCAGGTTTTTCTGAAACCATCCTTTTTGTCTTTTTTCTTTTTTTAGGCAATTGGAGTTAAGTGACTTGCCCAGGGTCACACGGCTAGTAAGTGTCAAGTGTTTGGTCTGAGGCCGGATTTGAACTCAGGCACTCCTGACTTCAGGGCCGGTGCTCTATCCACTGCGCCCCCTAGCTGCCCCTCCTTTTTGTCATTTCTTAAAACATAATAGTATTCCATCACAATCACATACCACAGCTTGTTCAGCCATTCTCCAGTTGATGGGCTTCCCCTAATTTTTAGTTCTTCGCTACCATAAAAAGAGCTGGTATAAATATTTTTGTACATATAGGTCCTTTTCCCTTTTTTATTTCTTTGGGATACAGACCTAGTAGGGTACTGCAGTTTTATAGCCCTTTGGGTATAGCTTCAGTTGTTCAGTAGACCAGATCACAACTCTACCTACAGTGCATTAGTGTCCCAGTTTTTCCACATCCTCTGCAGCATTGGTTGTTTTCCTTTTCTGTCATGTTAGCCAATCTGATAGATGTGAGGCGGTACCTCAGAGTTTTAAGTTATATTTCTCTAATCAGTGGTGACGTGGAGCATCTTTTTTTATATGACTGTAATTACCTTTGATTTCTTCTTCTGAACATTGCTTGTTCGTTTTTGTTGTTGTTGAGTCATTTCAGTCGTGTCTGACTCTTTAAGACCCCACTTGGAGTTTTCTCAGGAAAGATACTGGAGTGGTTTGCCATTTCCTTCTCCAGTGTATCCTGTGTATCCATTTGCTCAGGCAATCAGAGGTTAAGTGACTTGCCTAGGGTCACACATCTAGGAAGTGTCTGAGATAGGATTTGAACTGAGGTCTTCCTGACTCTAGGCCCGGTGCTCTATCCACTGAGCCACCAGCCTCCTCTCATATCCTTTGATCATTTATCGATTGGGGAATGGCTCTTATTTTTATAAATTTGGCTCCATTCTCTATATATTTGAAAAATGAGGCCTTTAGTAGAAAAATTTGCTGTAAAATTTTTCCCCCAGTTTCCTGGCTTTCCTTCTAATCTTGGCTGTTTTGATTTTTTTTGTGCATTGACCTTTTAATTTAACGTATCCAAAATTATTCATTTTACTTTCTGTGATCCTTTCGATCTCTTTTTTGGTCATAAATTCTTCTCTTCTCCATAGATCCTGACAGTAACACGTTCCCCTAATTTACTTATGATATCATCCTTTCTGTCTACATCATGTGCCCATTTCGACTTTATCTTGGTATCTGACGTGAGAGTGTGTTCTATTCCTAGTTTCTACCAAACTGCTTTCTGGTTTTCCCAGTAGTTTTTGTCAAATAGTGAATTCTTGTGCCAAAAGTTTGGATCTTTGAGTTTACCAAATGCCAGATTACTACAGTCATTTACTACTGTGTGTACATTTACTATATATACCTAATCTATTGCATTCATCCATCACTGTGTTTTAGCCAGTATCAGATTGTTTTGATGATTACTGCTTTGTAATATACTTTTTCATTGATTCCTTTGATATTCTTGACCTTTTGTCCTTCCAGATAAATTTTGTTGTTATTTTTTCTAGCTCTTTAAAATGATTTTAGTAGATGGAATGGTGTAGCGCTGAATAAGTAAATTGATTTAGGTAGAACCTACTCATGAGCAATCAATATTTCTCCATTTGTTTAGATCTGACTTTGTGTGAAAAGTGTTTTGTAATTGCATTCATATGGTTTCTGGGTTTGTCTTGGCAGGTAAATTCCCAACTATCATATATTGTCTGCAGTTAATTTGGATAGAATTTCTCTTTCTGTCTGTTCTTGCTGGACTGTGTTAGTGATATATAGAAATGCTAATGATTTATTTGTGTTCATTTTATATCCAACAACTTTGTTAATGTTGTTAATTGTTTAAACTAGTGTTTTTAGTTAATTCCCTAAGACTCTTTAAGCACACCATCATATTGTCTGCCAAGATCAAGAATGATAGTTTTGTTCCTTTGATTTCTTTTTCTTGTCTTATTGCTATAGTTAGCATTTCTAGTACCACATTGAGTAACAGTGGTAATAATGGACATCCTTATTTTTGTCACTTTTTAAAAACAAAATTACATCTTTTTCTCCTGAATAATTGAACCAGTTCAATACCAATAACAATGTTTTTGTGTGTCTATCCTTATTTTCTTTTATTCTGAACTTAAAACACAAAAAATGAGCATTTCCATAGACATACCAGAACATGAGTATTCTGTATGAAACCATAAATTTCCAGTTTATGCCATTTGCTTTTTAAATAATATATATAATATGTTTAAATAATATATAAAATAAATTCAAAACTGGCCTTCTTATCTGTACTTCCTTTTAAACTTCTTTCTGTTTTCTCCTATTCATTAAAAATGGTTCAATATCCTTATTTTTGTCATCACTATTGTTAACCCTGCTAATTTCCTCATACCCCATTTGCATTAAAAACAGAGGCGGAAAAACAACAACCCTTGTAATCCATAAGTATAGTCAAGTACACAGAGATCTTTTCAAAAAATGTATGTCTTTGCACCATACGTCTGTCCATCATATCTCTGTCATAAGCTAGGTAACATGCTTCATCATTGTAGAGTTCTTAAATTTTTCAGAGTTGTTTTTCATTACAATGTTTCTGTCCAGGCAGGTGACAACACACTTGTAGTCCTTGGTTTCAGGAGTCTGAGGCTGGTGGATCACTTGTGCTTGGGTGTTTTGAGCTGTAGGAGATCTATGCTGACTGGGCATTTCCACTAAGTCCAGTATATGAGTTCTTAGAAGCAAGGTGCCGCTAGGCTGGCTAAGGAAGGGCTTACCGACTCAAGCTATAAATGGAGTAAGGGTAAGGGCTCATGACAAACAGTAGTGAGATTGTGACATATCTTTTATATTTAAGTTCAGCTCTCTTTTTTGAACTTGTTATAGTCTGTAGTGCTGATCTATACCTTTTTTCTTTCCTTCCTTTCTTTCTATTTTTTTTTTTACCAAAATGTTTGCCAGATTTTCTAGCAGTTCTTATTAAATAGGGCATCCTTCCCAGTGATGTGCTGGAACTGGCTTATACTAGCTAATTTGTTGCAGTGGTCACTTTTCTATTTTTTGACCAGTGTCACCTAGTTTGATGATTGCAGCTTTCTGATATACTTTGAGTTCTCAAACTATTGTTCTCCATTTCTGCTTGTTTTCATTATTTTCCTTGAGATTATAGACCGCTCACATGATCATTATTATTATGCTTATTAAGTGCCCATAAGCTTCTCTTTATTAGTGAATTTTAGAATTTTGCTAGGTAATAAAAGTGAAAGTCACCAATTTACAATTTGATGAATCCACTTTCTCTTTTTAAATATCAGAACAACATTTAACTATCTCCTGTCTTGTTACCTTTCCTGTTCTACAAATTTTTTCACAGGTCATAATTAATGCCTCAGGAATCACATTGTCAAGTCTTAGTACTCTGGGGTATAATTTTCATGCTCTTGGATAAAATTTTCATTGACATCTGATTATAAATAAATAATACCGCAAATTCAAGAATACTTTTAAAATCAGGTATTGTGAAGAAGCAGCACTTTAAAAAATAATATTTAAATTAACAGAAAGATTTATGGTTTAAAAAAAAAAGATTACCTCACTCCAGTTAGTAAGACCACTATGCTGTACTTATGTCACAATAGTGACCCTCAAATGACAGGAAATGTGCTTATGCTTCACTTATTTTTACCACTATGTTTGTAAAAATTCTTCATAATTCTTCATAAAGTCAGGTCAGTTTTTTTCTGTTAGTTTGAAAAACTATCTTTATCTTTTTAGTTTGTATCTGGAAGAATTCTTATTTTTATGCTTCTCCCTTCTCTTAAACTTCTTTCCATGAACCTTCAATTAACACTAAATGTGCCATTTATCTTAGTATCATTGGACAAAATGATTGATATAGTTGTTGGTAAGCTTGGGAGATGGCTTCATGTTTTATTTTTCTGAGATATGTAGTTGTCTGACAACTGATAGGATCATAATAAACCCCCAGAATTGTGAGGTTCAGTCTTCAGACTGAACTAATGACCTAAAGAATTTTTATAAATGAAAAATTCTAGGCTAATTTTTCTTAAGTTAGGCATATTTGTACTTTATAAATGTATAAATAATTTATAAAAGTATACTGTTATTATTTGGAATAAAAATTTTATTTTTTAAAGGTTTTGTTGTTAGCTTTTATTTTTGTATGACCTTCATTTGCTAATCCTTTCTTTTTCACCAACCAAAGAGCCATCTCATATAACAAAAAATTCAGGAAGGAAATAGAAAAAAAACCAGTTTGGTACATCAGCTAAATCCAACAGTATATGTAGTTGGGCTGGAAATTCTGGAACATAATTTCTTCAACTAATATCCTTAATCCATTTTACTGTTTTTTTTTCTTTTGCTTATTTTGAATTTTTAAATTTCTTTTGACCACAAATTTATTTTCATGTAAGACAAGATTTTTCATTTTTGTATTTCTTCTCCCTCCAGCATTTTCATGATGGTCGGAAGGCTCAACAGCACATTGAAACTTGCTGGAAACAACTTGAATCAGTAAGTGAAATCCTCTAAAGAGATGTATTTATAGACTCTTTCAAAGTGACTTTCATGGAATTTTATTTCTAAAATAGTTCTAAGATAATGTGAGTCCTAAAAGAGTATAATCAATATTATGTTTTCTTAAAAAAGAGTAATGTTGTATACTCACCTTCATTTTATTTTTTTTCCTACCTTCTCAGGATTAGACAGCTTTCAGATATTTGTTCTTGCATGTTATTGAAGCAAATATATGTACATTTTAAGTGAAAATTTACAACACTGATTACAACAAATTATCTTAGCACAAGTGCTTTTAATTGAGCTTAATTTTAAGCAATATCTTTTGCTTCTTAGAATCTAACGGCTTCATGATTAACTGTGTACTTTTTTTTTAGAGCAAACGACGATTTGAGAGAGATTGCAAAGAAGCTGACAGAGCACAACAGTATTTTGAAAAAATGGATGCTGACATTAATGTTACAAAAGCAGATGTTGAAAAGGTATACTCTGTCATATTCTTTCTTTCACTTCCCTATTTGTTCTTGTCACTATTTGTCATTTTCTTGAATCAGTTCTCCCCAAAGTTCGACTTTCAAGCCCATAGAAAGCACATTATTTGTGATGTTTCTTCTTTGTTGTTATTACTTTGAAGTCCAGGATTTGAAATTCAGTAGTTCTTACCATTGTGAATTTAGGAAGTATTATTTATTGTTTGTGTTATCAATAAGAAAAAAAGATAAACATTTTGGTACCTTATATGAAAAGTATATGAGGATGCTGACCTTATAATCTTGTAAAGAAAAAGTACCCTTCCTGTTAGAGTTGACTGCCAAATAAAACAGGAATCCCCAGGCACTAGACATTTCTAAATGCTTCTGAACTTTAGTTCACATATGAAAATGAAATTTTGCTGACATAAACTGAAGTCCTAGAAATGTTCTTTTTTCTCTTCCATTTCTTCAAATTGATAAATAACATCACTTTTTTTTTTTAACTGCTAGGTCATTTCTCTCCATGGGCTCTTTAGCCATTTATGAGGAGTGAAGTGCAGCAAGGCAAAAAAAAAGCAGTTGCTTCTTTCAAGGAGTTTGCAGTCTAATAGGGAGACAACAGGCAAACAAATACATACATACAAGCTATATACTGAATAAATAGGAAATGGGAAAGACACTAGAATTTAGAGGTTCAGGAAAAGCTTCTAATAAAAGATGAGATTTTCACTGCGACGTAAAGGAAGCCAGGGAAGTCAGTAGGTAGAGGTGAGAAGGGAAAGCATTTCAGGCATAAGGGACAACCAGAGGTGGAGTATCTGAGAGAACAATAGTAGGGAACAAGATGTAGGAAGACTGTAAAGGTAGGAGGGGGCTAGATGATGAAGGGCTTTGTATGTCAAACAGGGGATTTGTATTTGATCCTGGTGGTGATAGGGAGCCATAGGAGTAGGAGAATGTTTTTTAAAAACAGACAAACCTGAAATTTGGGAAAATTATTTAAGTGGCTAAATGGAAGATGAATGAAAGTGAGGAGAAACTTTAGCAGTCAGACTCACCAGTAGGCTATTGCAATAGTCCAGGTATGAGGTGATAAGGGCCTGCATTAGAATGGGAGCAGGGTCAGAGGAGAGAAGGGGGTACATTGGGTATGGTGGGGGATGAGAGCAAGGAATCAAGGCTGATTCCTATGTTGCAAGCCTGAGGGACTGGGAGGATAGCATGGCCCTTAATGGTAATAGGGATTGGAAGAAGGTGGGGAACCTGGGACCTCAAGGCCACATGTAGTCTTTTGGCTCCTTGGGCACAGCCTTTTGACTGAGTCCAAGTGTTACAGAACAAATCTTTTTATTGAGGGGATTTGTTCTGGATTCAGTCAAAGAGCTGTACTTGAGGACCTGGAGGGCCACATGTGGCCTGGAGGCCATAGGTTTGCCACCCCTCTTTTAGAAGGAAAGATAATGAGTTCTGTTTTGGACAGGTAGCATTCTGTTTACTGGACATCCAGTTGGAAATGTGAGATTGGTAGTAAGTAGGTATGTTGGGGCAGGATAGGTAGATTTAAGAATCATTAGTATAAATATGTTAATCACATAAGCGGTAGCTCAAGTGAAATAGTAAAAAAGAAGAGAAAAGGGCCTAGGATGGAACCCTGAGGGACATCTACAGTTAGTAGATGTGATGTGAATGAGGATCCAGCAAAAGAGACTGAAATGGATTGTTCAGATAGGTAAGAGGAGAACCAAGAGAGTGTGGTGTCCCAAAAACCTAGAGAGAAGAAAATATTAAGAAGAGAGTGAGAGGTCAAGGAGAATGAAGTTTGAGAAAAGGCCATGGATTTGGCAACTAAGAGATCATTGGTAACTGCAAAGAGCACGTTGGGTGTAGTGGAAAGGTCGGAAGTCAGACTGTAGGGGGTAAGGAGAGAGTAAAGGAGAGAAAGTAGAGGCACGTATTGTGGATGGCTTTTTCAAGGAGTTTAGCCACAAAAGGCAAAAGAAATATAGGATAATAGTTGGGGGAGATGAAAGGATCAAGTGAGGGTTTTGGTTTTGGTTTTGTTTTTCAGAATGTGGGAGGCATGGTCATGTTTAAGGGCAGTGAGGGATGAACCAGTAGACAGGAAAAGATTGAAATTAAGTGATAGAATGGGGATGACAGAGGGGGCAATCTTTTGGAGGAGATGGGATGGGATGGGATCACGTGAACAGGTAGAGGGAATAGCTTTGGTAAAGAGTAAGGCCACCTCATCATGTGAGGCAGAAGTAAAGGAAGAGAGAGTAGCAGAAGGCATCTGAGTGATAGGAGATGAGGAAGGGAGAAGAGGGAGTTCACAGCAAAATGGCCTCAATATTTTCTGCATATAAATATGTATATAAGTAGAGAGTTTTTTCATAGGTAGTTTATGTTTTCAGGTTTATGTTCTGGTTCTTTTGTTCTTCCAAATGAATTTTGTTATTTTGGGCACCTCTTTAAAGTATTTCTTTGAGAGTTTGCTTGGTATACCTCTAACTTTTGTAAATGAATTTGCAACATTGTCATTTTCACCATTTTATCAAAGCCCAGGCACAAGTATTGAATATCTCTCTAGCTAATTTGTTATTCTTTATTTCTTTAAGCAATGAGTATTTTGTATCTCTATAGATTTTCAGTATACTTTTGTGAATTGGTGCTAAGATTAATTATGCATTTTAAATTAATTAGTTATTTTAAATGTAATTATTTCTTACTGCTTTGTGGATTTTATTATTGCCATATAGAAATGCTGTTATTTTGTTTTTATTGTTGATTTTTGTGAGTTTCTTTTTATAGACTATAACTTTTTTTATGTGTTATTGTATTTTCTTTATTTTTTTGTTTTGTTTTCTTTTTATTAATTTATTTTGATTTATCGACAATCATTTCCATAAGCTTTTGAGTTTTAAATTTTTCTCCCCCTTCCTCCCCAAGACGGTGAGCAATCTGATATAGCCTATATGTATACATTCCTATTAAACATATTTTCACATTAGTCATTTTGTAAGGAAGAATTAGAACCAATAGAAGGAACCACAAGAAAGAAGAAACAAAACATAAGAGAAGAAAAAAAAGAGCAAATAGTGTGCTTCGATCTGCATTCAAACTCCATAGTTCTTTCTTGGGATGTGGATAGCATTTTCCATCATCAGACTTTTGGAGATTAGACTATAACTTTAATGAAACTATTAATTACTTATGGGGATTAAATTCTTAGCTATACAAGTGATAAAGACAATTACAAAAAACATAGTAGATACTTGTGATTATGTGAAATTGAAAAACTTTTGCATGAACAAAATTAATGCCACTAGAATAAGAATAGAAGCAGTTGGTAGAAAAATCTTTGCATCAAATATCTCTGTTATCACTATGATATGCAAAACATAAACAGTTAATAAATAAGACCAAAATCTATTGCCTAGAGGAGATATGGCCAAAAGATATGAACAAACTTCTGTCAAATAAGAATGGTAAACTATTAGAAACCATTTGAATAAGATGTCCATACCCTTTGATACCCAGAAATTCCACTGCTAAACATATAGCCCCAAGAAGTTTAATTTTTAAAAGAGGCCCAATATACTCGAAATGTTTATAGTAGCACTTTTTGTAGTGGCAAAGAAATGGAAGCAAAGTAGATCCCCATCAATTTAGAAATATTTAAGCAAATTATGGTATATCAGTGTGATGCTGGTGTGCTATAAGAAACAATGAATATGATGAATGCCATGAAGCGTGGAAAAACTGAGATGAATTGATGCAAAGTGAAATAAGTAGAACCAAAAAAGCAATACAAACAGGGACTTAAAATACTTGTTATTTTCGAGATATTGTGCTAAATGCTTTGGATACAATTAAAAGCTTCCATTCTATTGGAGCAAGGTGACATATAGATAAGCAGATGGGGGAAGAGTAAGGCAGGGAGTAGAAGAAGAAGCCTGGATTGATTAGGAGGGAGTCAGACAGATCATGGCTAAGGAGGGAAGTTAGTAATCCAGAGAAGGTGTCTTTTTGTAGAAGGTACCTCTATGAAGAAGTTTCTCCAGAGTAGAGAGTGGGTTGATGAAAAAGAGAATAAAGCCATGGTCAAGTGCCAATGAAGTAAAACTTAAGGGCACTGAACCCCTTCCAGAAACAATATAAATGGAAAGAACAAGTACATTAAGAGTTTAAACAAAAAGCTGAGAGATTATAATGACTTAGCTTTGCCCCCAAAAAGAGATGTGTGAAGATATTTTGCTCTGCTTTTTACAGAGGAAAGGGATCATGAGTGCAGACTACTGCATGTAACATTAGACAGTAGACAGATTGCTTGGTTCTTCTGAACTTTTTTTTTTTCTCCTGTGTTATTTACTATAAGGGATGGTTCTCTGGGAGAGACACACTGGGGAACATAGTTGATATAAAAACAATTATCATTTGAATTTATTTTTTGATAATAGCTAACATTTATCTAGCACTTTTAAAAAAAGATTGTTCATTAATCTAGAGTATTATAATTAAATTAAGGATTACTGAGGAGAAAAAGACAAATTAGATAAATAACTTTTTTCTTTACTGGCACATGGGGTCTATATATTTGTTTTCCCATATGAAAATGCATTTTATTATATTTCCGGTTTAGACTACTAAAATGGTTTGTGTAATTTGGCCTACTTAGTTATTCTGAGTATATAAAATAACTAGGAATTTAGAGGAAGTCAGTGCTTTTTTTTTTAATGTTTTAGTGTAAGAGTTAAGTATCTAATTCTTATATTTTTTATATCCCTGATAAAAACTGTGTAGTATTTTTAAATTTACCTTATTTGACATAATAGCAGAAGGATACTCAACTAAACTTAGTATACTAAAAAAATTTAAATCTGGTTTGATTTTCATCCTGAAGGCCCAGTTTAGGATGGCATAAGGCCAAGGGTTTCCTTAATTCAGTCTCCTAAACAAGAAGAGTTCAAACACAAAAGTTTAAGATTTGATCTATAGTTCTAATTGGC